TTTGTTGCTGTTGATTCCAGTTATAGCAACCCTATAGGACAGAGTAGAATCACCCCGTAAGATTTCCATCATTGTCAATCTTTAGGAAAGAAGATAGATTACCACATCCCTTTTTCTACAGTGTGGCTGTGGAGTTCAAACTTCCAATCTTATCCAGTTAGCAGTTGGGAATTTAACCACTGCATTTTGGGGGCTTTGTATTAAGAAAATGAACACACACACACACACACATACACACAAACCCTCACTGCCACCGGGTTGGAACTGAGTCATAACTTCCCATCTGTCTTATACAGGGCCACTGGTAGATTCGAACTGCCAGAAAGGTGATGAATTTGGGTTAGCAATGCAATTTCTTATTTAGCATGGAGTTCTGTGTAGCTGTTAATTAAAATAACAAACAAAACAAACTGCTGTCAAGGGAGTACCTGGAAGATCTGAACCACAGACCTTATGGTTAGAAGTCTGATACATTAGGCACTATGTCAGCAGGGCTCCAACTGTCAGTGTTGTTGTTTGTTTACCATTGAGTTAGAAGAGATTCATAGCTGACCCTCCACGCAGGTATTTAGAGGCAATAAATTACACAGGCAGAGGATGCCCATCTTTCTCCTGTGGAGCAGCAGCAGGTGGATTAGAACTGCATGCCTTTAAACTGAGAGTACAACTTCTTATCATCTACCCTACAGGTGAGAGAAGGTGGCCAGAAGATCTTTTGACTCTTCATGGCTCTTCTGCCTAATCTGAACTATAGCTTTAATGTTATGTACTGTTGAATTGGCACCCATTTATAGCTGACCCTCCAGTGGATTTTCACAGACTATAAATTGCCCAGGTACAGACTCATCTTTCTTCTTTGGAGCAGCTGATGGATTTGAACCTTTGGGTTGACAATGCAACTCTTTACCACAGGCCACTAGAGCTCCATGATCTCTAATTTGGTCCTATGAAATAAGGTTTTTAGTCCATGTTGTGGTTGTTAAGTGTCATTATGTATGACTGATAGGGACCCTATGAACAAAAGATTTAAACTTTGTCGTATCCTGTGCCAAATTCACAATCTTTGATATTTTCGAGCCAATCCCTGCAGTCACTGTCAATTTTAAGACAAATAATCAGTTAAAAAAACGTTCTACTATGGCTGAAGCTTAGTGGTAAGAAGCTGCACTTCAATCCTGAAGGCATGAGGTTCAAATCCACCAGCTTCTCCATGAGAGAAGAATGGACAATCTCCTCATATATTATTAACTGCCTCTGAAAACCTGCTAGAAGGTCAGCTATGGATGGGTTGGATCTGATCATCAGTATACAACAATAACATGGCTAAAGATGTCTCTGTTTTTCCAAAGCCTCTATAGTTATTAAAATACTGTTTTGTGAATATCTTCTATTAAAAAAATTTGTGGAAAAGTCTCAATTACCTAAAGGATTAGGTTCAGAAATAGCTGACAATCAAGGCCCAAACTTCTCTTAAATTATAAACCACTCTTCCACTCTCAATTTAAATACCATCCTTTCACTGTTAATTGATATTCCACTTTCAATTGATATTTATATTCCACTCTTCCACAATTTGTATGCCACTTAAAAATTAGCCACCTTAGGCAAACTAGATTATTATTGTCCCTATAATATGTAATATTATTGCTTTCATGATATCCTTACTTGGGTTACATCTTTGATAAAAAAATACTCCTCAGTTCTTATTTGAATCCCAGGGATCCTTCGAGTTGGAGTCCTGGTGGCACAGCAGACACTAGTTGGCACTTGCCAACTAACCAAAAGATCAGCAGTTTGAACCCAACTGCTCCATGGAAGAATAATGTTGCAGTCTACTTTCATCAAGATTTACTACCTAGGAAATCCTCTGAGGTAGTTTCACATTGCACTCCACAGCACTTAACAATATCACTGAATCACTGAGTCAGAATCAACTCAGTAGCCTGAGTTTGTCTTATTTGGCTCCCTCAAGTTCATTTCAAAGTCCATTTTCCCCAGAGCCTTCCTTGGCCATTCATCTTTAAACTCTTACTATATTTCTCAGCCAGCCAAAGGAGAGCCAGTGAATGGTTGTTTCTGTCAATATGGTTAATGATGGACAAGGTAAGGATGCAGAAGGCACAAGTTTGGTGGTTTGTTTTTTTTTAATCGAGATTTTATTGTAAATTTATAAAAAAACTTGGATTTCCATTCATTCATTGTTGCACATTTTCCTCTCTGCTCCCCTCTTCCCAGTTCATTTTTTCTTTAGAAAAGAAGTTCTTTCATTGTTATACAGACACTCCCACATACTAATTTACTATGCAGCTCAAGGCACAAGTTTTCTGGAAAGCCAACTAATGATAATGAAAAGACTTAAAAGGTTCCATTCTAAAAATTTCAATTGGCAAAATCCACCTTAAGGAAATAATCAGGAATATGACCAAATGTATTTAATATTGTTGTTGTTGTTATGTGCCATCGAGTCGCCTGCGACTCATAGCGACCCTATGTACAACAGCCCTAAACTCCGCTCTGTCCTGTGCCAATCGCACTGTCTCTGACACT